TATCATTATATACAATTATGTATAACAATATGTATAATTACATATAAATCTATGCGTACCCAGATAGAAATGCGTGATGATCACGTTTCATCATAATGTGATTTCATACTGTGATTTCACCTTGATATCTTTTTAAAGATGTTTTAAAGATTATGTGATTAACATGACATGAGCACAAAATATATACAAATGATATACGAATATATCTAGTCCATCAAGTTTTGTTATCATAATATTATTAGATGAGATTTTTTCTGATCATCATTACATGAACGACATATGAGCAGTATATGCGCACGCATTTGTATGCATTTTTACAATCATCCACGTCAATATCCCAGATAGCACGATGAATTCTTTAAGTGTTCCTAAAGTTTTCTTCTTTCCTGAATTGTACTTCCTTAGGAATTCGTGGAACAATACTATAAGAATGATTTAGGAAGTTACATGCACCATGATTGAAGTTCCTCAGAACTTCTTAGAGTATTCATATAGAATTACTTCAACTCAAAAAGATTTCTTCGGATTTAATAAATTTTATTGTATCCACACGAAAGAAAGATCAGAAACTTTGGCCGGAGGTGCTGCTGCTCTTATGTATATCTGTAGATGTCCACTTTTAATGCCATATGAAATGAAAAACATTAAACTCGGCTGGGATCGAACTCGGGTCTTCCGCTTGTCAGACAACCGCTCTTTCCACTGAGTTATTTAATAGCGAATTCGGTAGCTTGCACTAGTGCGCACTGAGTGCGCATTAAGGCTTGTTTACAGTACATTCTTATATTTAAGATCGTGTCTTAAATACATATTTAAAAACATTTTAACTAATAAAATGATTCGTACGGATGTTATACATATCATATTATGGTTAAAAATATTTGAGAATTTATTTGAGAATTATTTAAGACAATTTTTAAATATAATAACATACTATGAACAAGCCTTAGTGCGCACTCAGTGCACACTAGTGCAAGTAACCGAATTCGCTATTAGTCACAGTTATGTATATTTCATGGAATTAATTATATAGTTTTATATAATTAATAAATATAAATTAATACAAAGAAAGGGAATGAAATGTTAAGATAGCTTTTTTATATATAACGTATATATATAGTAATATGTATAATGTTTAATGTTCATATACTTATGTTCTTATCGTAATTATATTTTCTATCTATCCGCCGAATTTCATGAAAACCAACGTAACATATTCATGAAAACGTTCCTCTGAAAAAGATCCTCTGATATTGTATTTCGCATGCGCGGAAGTTTGGACCCGCTACGACAACGATTGCGATATGTATTGTGTGCAATTATATTACTGTTTTCATAAATAGACGTTATCTGCATATATTACAAAGCGAACCCAAAAATATTGAGTTAAAGTGTAAGTATAGTTCCATTACGTTCATATATTATACATATATATGTACAAATTGTTACTGTATAACCTTAAAATACTTGCATGCACATTCTATTTTTCCAATTCTGTGATTCTTATTCAATTTCAGATATTTATTCTATTATTATGTAATTATACTTTTACATGATTTTGTCAATATTATTGCAGGATCATCAAAAGTGCTTCTCAGTTGTAAGGAGTTAACAGAGTTGTCAACAGAGCAAGCAAGAAGAGAAATTACAAAGAAAGTACAAGTTAACAGAATAAAGAAAAGTAAGTATTTCTTTTCATGTTTATACTGATATATAAAAATGAAAGGTCGAGTGAAACCATTTGATAAACTGTCAAGGTGGCAAAAAAATAGATGTTTAAATAAAAATATTGAAGACTTTGGTTTGTTGTGAAAGTATGATATTGAAGAAGATAATAGTATAAATTTAAATATTATAAAAAAAGCAGAAAATGTTGGAAAATATCAAGTAGAGGAACTTTTTATTGAATCACGTTTAAGCAGTTCAAGTATGTCTAATGAGTTAGAAGAAAAAACTGATAATAGTGAAGACACAGCGGACAATGATGACAATGATGATAATATTACAGATAGAACTAGTGTCGAATATAATGAGACAACATTCTTATCAGAAATACAATTGTGGGCTGTAAAAAATAATATTTCTCATATTGCGTTGTCTCAATTGTTAAAAATATATAAAAAATACCATCCAAATAAAGAAACTCCAAGTGATGCTCGAACTTTTCTAAATACACCAAAAAAATGTATTGTTAAATCATGTGTTGTTGGAGAATTTCTTTATTATGGTCTTGAAAAAGCTATACTTGATAATTTAAAATATAATAGTACTGAATTGGTCAGTAACTGTCTAATAATTGATATAAACATTGATGGGCTTCCAATTTCGAAAAGCACAAGTAGACAGTTATGGCCAATACAAGCAAAGTTTGTCAATGTCAATAATTATTGTCGGCCTTTTATTGTTGGAATTTACCATGGTATGACAAAACCTTCTTCAGTTGAAGAATTTTGAAATGAATTCGTAAATGAATATTGTACTTTACGAGACGAAGGTTTTGATTACCATGGTAAACATGTTTTTCTTCAAATTAGAGCTGTAATATGTGATGCTCCAGCGTGTTCATTTATTAAATGTATAAAATATTCTAGCGGATATAGTGGATGTGAACGTTGCATAATAAGAGGGGAATACAATAATAAAGTAGTATTTGTAGATTGTAATTGCGAGCGAAGAACTGATTACAGTTTTGAGAAAAAACTTGATACGCATCACCATGTTGGAATTTCTCCATTAGAGAAACTTAGAATTAGGATGGTTAGTGTTTTCCCATTAGATTACATGCACTTAGCTTTACTTGGTGCAATGAAGAGATTATTATTGTTGTGGACGAAAGGTATAAAAGAATGTCGCTTTAGTAGCCGTGATTATAATGTTTTAAACAAACGACTATGTTTAAATACAAATGTACCTTACGAAATAACAAGGAAACCGAGATCTAATTTGAATGAATTTACTAGGTGGAAAGGTACAGAATTTCGCTTCTTTCTTTTGTATCTTGCACCTTTTATTTTATATGATATTATGCCAGATAAATATATTCAACACTTTTCTGCTTTTCATTACGCAATTAGAATTTTATGCGATCTATTGAACTGCGTACATAACAAAAACTATGCAGAAAAATTATTAGTGTGGTTTGTACAAAATTTTAAATCTTTATATGGAACTGAAAACATAATATATTGTATACATAATTTAATACATCTTGCGGTAAGTACATTTGGAACATCATTGGATGATTTTAGTTGCTTTCAATTTGAGAACGAGATGAAAAATATAAAAAAATATTTACGTAAACACGATAAACCGTTACCACAAATTTTCAAAAGAATAAAAGAGAAAGCTGTAATTTCAAATATAAAAGATTTTAAACAGAAAACATATCCATTATTAATTAATAAAAGTACAACTAAATTGACTATTCCATTTGAAAATGATGCTTGTTATGAACGGATAATTTTTGAAAAGTTTACCTTACACACAACAATGCCAAATAATATATGTTACTTAAAAAACAACGGCATATATAATATAAAACATATTATAACTTTGAATGATGAAATCTTTTGTATAGGAAATAATATCACAGTTTACAATATACTTTTTTATCCATTACCGTCCAATAAATTAGGTGTACATCTGATTAAAAGT